TTCGTTTGATAATCGCCTTTTATTTCGTGATGGTGTTTTATCAGACGTACTATTAACGTTACTTACAGTTTTTTCTGGATGAATTTCTGCTGTAGTAGTCACTTTACTTACATTAACGGGTGTTAATACCGATTGTACGTATGTATCTGCCAGTTGAGGATTGAGGGGATCAAAACTTAATATGTCTAAATGCTCCATTTCTCTCGTGAAAACACTCAAAATTGTTCCTCCACTCAAAAGTATGTACTAAAGCTAGCAGATAATATATTCCCAATATTCAAATATACTTTTAAATGCACTAAAATCAGATTTTTTTCGCCACAGAAAATAAACACTTTTGAATTTTTTGGCGCATGCGTGATGTATCATGTGACATGAAGGAATTATATATTATATCTTATTTTCTCAAATTTAATAATAATAATAATAATAATAATAATAATAATAATAATAATAAAATCTTTATTTGGCTAGTTTACTTCTGCTCGTTACACATATGCAAAAACTATCATTTTATGCTACGATTAAGATAAAACATTAGAAACATTGACATACATAGAAAAAAAGTTACAAATATAACCAATGACTTGTAAGAATACATATTTTATTTATTTTTTGTATCACAGAATAGATATTTCACTTTTGGAACCAAACGGTAGTATATGTATCAAAAGCATGACGCTGGTTATTGGTACAAAAAAAACTTTCTGACATGCGTAATGAAACATTTGATATACCCATTTATGGCCAACCTAATTATTAATGAAAGTTACTGCGAAAAGGTCCTTGGAATTTTTTTTTAAGAAACTGTGTCTTGATATAATCATATCAATTATTTTATCAAAAAGTAACTCTTCATCAGCATTACCGAGAAGAATCAAGAAATACTTGAATCAAAATGATTACTTTTTTGTACAATGCTTAAAAAAACTCATTATATATACCATGCTTATAGTTTTGTATGTAAGATGTGCATTTCGTCTACAAAAGACTCACCAATGACGCTCAAATCAAATAGTTAAAGGCCAAATAAATCCACATTTAGATTACTGTTGCTCAGTATGGGCAAACTGCACCTCGGTTTTTTTTTTATAGAGATACTAAAATTATAAAAATGACAGCTAGAATTGTTTTAACGAACTCATCTTTCGAATTATTTGAGAAATATAGAATTATTGTCGTTAGTAAGAGAATACAATACCACAAGTCATTAATAAATATACGAATCAAAAATATAGATTTACACCGATATATCTATGAAATCTAATTGTGTCTACAAATAGGAAATAATGTAACAATACATTGCCCCTTAATCATAAACGAAATTATACAAATCAAGTGTTATTTCGGTAACACGGTATTTTTGTTGATTTATGATCTGAAAACCTTATATAAAAGTTAAAAACAAATCCTCTACAGTATGAAATGTGTTAGACAGGGGCGTAGCTGGACTTAAATAAAGTGCAATCATAAGGAAAATTTTTTTTGGACCATTTTATGCAGAAAATGATAACTTTTTTCGGGTATTTTCCCGGTATGCCATGCTTGTGAAATTCACATCACATTCACGCCCAAACTCCTATTTTGTGAATACTTGTGGACTTTATAGTGATTCGGCAAGGGAGGAGGCTATGGACCGCCCAAAGTCCCCAGCTGGTCCAGGATAGCACCCTAGTCGGGGATTCAGGGCAGCACCGTAGACGGTGGTCTAGGGAAGCGAATCCCCATGAAGCTCCGGGCATATGAGTAATTACAGTGACTGCATTGAACATGAAAAATACCCTATCTGTTTCTTACTATACCATATTTTCATGAAACGATAGTAAAAGTCTAGTGAGTTCCGTAATTTGCTGCTTATATTATTAACATGGTTATTTTCAAATATAAAAAAAAAATTATAAAACGGGAAGATCAGGAAGAGTCGACAACCGAAGCGTTAATCAATGGACAATTGACAAACCTGGGAACAGATAAGACACAAAAGGAGAAACGAAAACATTCAACATTGAAAATTAAATACAAATGAAAAACACGGACCAAGAAAACAATGTGGCGTCCTCCGGTGCTCCGGCCAAAAGGGTAAGCAGTTCCTGCTTCTTGCAAGAAACCCATAGTGTGTCTCACGAAGGTCATTCTCAAATCAAAGGAGAGGTTTCTACGACAACGGTAGAAGGTCATTTGGGACACAGATACCCCAGGTGAATCAATAGTCTTTTGGACGAACGGACAATGGGAATACGAAATCTAACGGCCACTTTTAAGTCTTGACTTATAAGTAAGGGATATAAATCTAAGATGTTTTCAAGGTGATTGTATTGAGCCTGTATTATTAAATGTTAATACTGCATGTAAGACTTAAAGTATAGTTAATATCGAAAGTCCATATATCTTTTTTTTGCCAAGGCAAATGATCGCAGAACTCTCTCGGTGTTATTAATATCCATTTCTTTGTGAACATGTATGAGCGCCAACGAAGATAGTCTGTCCTGTACCATGGTTGAACGGAGATAAGTTTTCGGTCGCCTTAATGCACTAAATGACCGTTCAGTAGGTGATGTAGTTACTGGCATTGTAATTAGAATTGAGAAGATTGCGAATATTGAAGGATATATAGTTCTTTGTTAGTCACTGCTACAGACGACATCAAAGATTTGGGCTTTAAACACCGCCCGACACGATAATCTGTAAAGACTAAAGACTATCCGTAATTCAATTTCAGAATATTTTTTTTTTGGTGAAAAAAATGTGCAAGCAAATGATTTTTTGCGTAAAGGCAGCTACGCGCCTGTTAGATGTGGGGAAAGATACAAAGGGGCTATCAAAATATATTGGCAGAAGAAAATTCAGATGAAACAATGTTAAAGCAAACCAACAAGAACGACATTGAACAATAAGAAGATTTTTCAACATATTACCAGTCAGTAAAATTGTGTGCAATTTATTTCATAAACAAGTGACCAACCAATGATAAAGATAATTTAAAGTACTATGTTCTATGGGAAGCTATTTCATATGAAAACACATCATGTACAAGTTTACAAGAAGAGTTTGAAGATTTTTTTAATATAAAAATAAGAAGATGTGGTATAATTGCCAATGAGACAACTCTCCACCAGAGACCAAATGCACAGAAGTTAACAACTATAGGTCAATGTACGGCCTTGAACAAAGGAGCAAAACCCTTACCGCATAGTCAGCCATAAAAGACCCTGAAATGACAAATGTAAAACAATTCAAACGAAATAACTAACGGCCTGATTTATGTACAAAACAATAAACGAAAATCAAATATGATATACAGCAACAAACGACAAACTACTTCATGTAGGTACAACCATGTATATGCTAATTAACTTTCAGCTGATATAGTTTGGAAATTTCATCAAAATAAATCGGATGAGAATGCTGTCAGAAAACACTATAAGTATAATAGAATAGCGAAGGACTTATTACGCAGTAACCTCCTTGATATAAAGTATATATGTTATAAATTATCTTCTCAAACGGCAATGACAATTAGTCGACAAACCAAAAATGTGATTATTTTCTTCATTCAAATTGAATTTTATTTTTATGTTGATCTATTGTTCATCTTTTTTTCTCCAACATTTAACTTGTCCTAAGTCAATATCATTATATGTCTCATATGCATCTATGTGACTTCACATGAAATTGCGTTGAATAATGGTAGATTGTCCAAGAAAATGCGAAATATACGTAATTAAACAGTATTTCGGATTCTTATGAAATTTTGAATGGACTCAGATGTCGTTTAATGGAATCTGAATATTGAAAAACAAAATGTAGCATTTATATTTTCGATGATACAAACATTTAAAGATTTATCAAAAAGATCTACAACATTACTATTGTTGTATATAGAATGTGCATAAAAATGCATTTTTCACTTCAATTTGCTAATTCTCGAAATTCCGTCAACAAAATGTTGTTTAAAAACGATGTCTTATTTCTGTGAATGTCTCCGTTTTAATGATTTACGGTCAAGTAACAGTAAATGGGCTAAGTCACAGATTTTCTAAAAATTTTGCATGCAACTTTGGTTCGTTGAACTTTATTTGAAAATCTAAAACATAATGCATTTATCGCTTTTCTTTTTTGAAATATTACTGACTGAATTCTTTCAAAATTTGTGAACATTTGTATAGAAAGCACATACAATTGTCGAAAAACGATCTTAAATTTGTGTTAAAAACATCAAATTTCCAATTTCAGTACATAGATTTTTCTTAAAAACTATGTGTGGTTTAGACAAACATTTCTGTTTTAATAATGTAAAATAGTAATAGGGTCATCGATTTCGTTCACTCTGTACGTTCGTCAGTCGGTCTGTCGGTCCACGTGGCTTGTAACAGCAATTTTTCATAGTTTGCTGGGTGGACATTGATAAATTGACAGTTGTAGTACTAACTACCCTATAGCTAGGATGTTACATAATGGAACATAATCTCGATCGTACATGTTAAGGAGAAGATAATCAAACTTACTTGCTATGATATTGCTAGTCTGTGGTAAAAAAAAATCGGATGATGGGGGTAATTATCCTTGTGAGTTCACGTCTACATTTGTAGTGTATATCTTGTCAGAGTTCATTTGTAATTATCAAATCTATTGGTTTTGTAGAACAATTAACATAAGTGCATTTATTTCAGTAAAACGCCTTTTACTACTTTTCAATTCAATCTAATTGCATCTATACCGTGTCGTTGACACAACAGAGATGAGCGACCTCTATATACTTACTGTCAGAATCAAGTAGAATTTGTTCATCCTAAGAGACTTGTTTATGAATAAGTAATTAAAAGTAATAAAACGGTAATTAGCAAAAAGAACTTTATGTACCAGTAATGGAATTGTGATTTTTCTTTATGAAACATTCTTCTTGATATTGATATAATTTATTTTTGTATGATGCAGTACTTGATAATCATTTTCTCTAAGATTGTTATCAGTAAGTGAAGATTCTTTAAATTTACTTGCAGGCTTTTAAATGACAAAGATACCGGTTAATGATGATTCGTAATGGACGATTATACAAAATTTCTAGAATAATATACATACAGTATTACATAGTAGAAGCTGTCCTTTTCTTGTCAGCGTTCAGTGGTAAGTTGCATTTTGTTTATTTTGTAAAAGAATGACTGTTACTGTGAAAAACGGTGTTAAGTTGAAATTTGATTTTAGTGACAGGGTCGACAGCAAAACTTGTAAACCTAACCCTAAATTAAAAATGGTTTCCTAAACATTGGACTTGAAACAAATCAATGCTTGAGGAGAGCTACAAAAGGAATAACGTGGTCAATATTGATAAATTGGTGGATACTTGTTTTTATCGTGACAATATAAATATTCCAAAAAAATTGTCACTGGAATTTTAGTCGTTTAATTTCCTCCATTTAATGAAAGAATAAAACAAAATGTAATAGAAATTACTATAAATTTTCCTACTGTTATTTTGGTTGGATACTTATTTTTATCGTGTCGAAATTAATGAAAAAATATATGTCACTGGATGTTTAGTAATTTTCTTCATTCTATAAAGGCCGATCTCCGTGAATTGATCATGCTTCAAATATCTGTCCCTGGACCTTACACGCATTCAACATGCAACCATTGCAATCAATTAACCGATCTTTTTCCAGTTCTTGGAAATGGAAGAATAGTAATAAAGGAAAAATTACCATTCATGTTACAATAATAATTCTTTCACTGTGTAGACTTTCCTTTTTTCACACAGGGCGATTAAGAGTTTACCATAATGTATTCCTGTCTACAATTGTACACTGTATTCATAATTGGTATAATAAAATGTTTCTTTCTTATCACAACGATAAAACTCCTTTGAAACTACACGCCATTTTCGAGTTGGAGGGCAGATAAACATCGAATAAAATTTTGCATCACCTCCCCCCACCCCTTTCAAGAGTTTTTGGGGAGAAAAAAATATTCTATAACACGTAAATGGCTATCGAGCCTGAATCCCACGGCAACAAACATTTAAATGTACCTGTATCTGACATACAAATCCAACTGACATCTTTTGTATGTGTTAATTTTCTGGAAATCAGATATAGTATCATTCCACTATTTGATTGACATATTGAAAAGTACAGTAAAGTTTTATTGGTCAGCATTTAACCTTTGACGTGTGGCATAGCCCATTAATGTTACAAATCATATATAGCCACGCCTTACTCATTAACATATTTAATCCACTCAAAGCTACGCTTTTCGTGAAATACATACGTTAATTCGTAAAAGGCGTGCTATATATATAACTTATCGATCAAAATAGAAATGATTTATGCCATCCCGTTATTTATCTTCAAATTAACCATGGGAAGGCATGATATTTTCACCAATTTTATCTTTCGTTCCAATACGCTCTACCATAAGTAAATTTTCAGGAAATAATGGCCACCAAATATTGAAATATCCAATTATAACCACAGGTTGACATAAATCATTTCTTCATATACATCCTTTGCTGACATAATTATGTAATAGACCTATGGAAAGAAATATATTTAATTGAGTAGTTTTTGTAATTGGGAATACATTATATACATTAATGGTTAACGACTGTATGTCTTTAAAGGATTTATCGACAACGCAAATTATAGATACATGTATATCACATAACTTATTGTGGCGATTACAGAAGATTGTCAGGAAGGAGCTCAGTGGCGGATCCAGAACTTTTCATAAAGGGGGGGGGGGGGGGGGGGGGGCGCTGACTGACCTAAGGCGGGGGCCCGCTCCAGTCATGCTTCAGTGATTCCCTATATAATCAACCAAACTTTTCCCACGAAAAGGGGGGGGGGGGGGGCCCAGGGCCCCCCTGGATCCGCCCATGGAGCTACACAAAAGTGGACATAGTTTCTATTTCCAATCTGTATTCCCAAGAAACTAGTCCATCATACATTGAATCACAATTTTTGACTCTTTGTACGTTTTTTCTAAAAGTCTTCAAAGCTTTGCTATTCTTTGTTATGAATATTATTTCTTTATGAAAGGCACTTTACTACAAGACTTTTCCTAACACCCAACTGATATTATTAATACCGGATTGAAAGTTTGTTACTCTTTCACTCTAAAGGATGGAGTATATATGTTTACCTCTGTCGGTCCGTAACTCATAAATTTCTTGTCGCAATTTCTCAGCAACTACAAGTCATAACGTGTTGGTATATCCCACTAAGCTTCATCTGTTTATGCCATACCACGTGTTACGTTTTCAGTCCCTTTGATTCTTTTCGTCCTGTTTATCTAATATACAAGGTTGCAGTCTTGTAATTGACTGCTTCATAGGCTTACATGCTAAACAGCTGATCTTTGAAGATAAAAAAAATTAAAAATGCTACATAGAAAATTTTTTTCATGTTCATATCATGTATGTACTAATGTGAAATTGTGATTTAATTGAAAAAAAAGTGGGTCATACCACGAAGAATAATAAGTTATGTAACCCTGAAGTCAAAACTATTTTTTTCTACTTTCTGTTTGCTGTTTTTACTAGGCCGCACCACTTCCAGTAAACATGATATCCTTCCACTTTCCTGGATTGATATCCCCAAAAAGATGGAAATTTTTTTTTAAATCTATATATATGTTTCAATTCAGTATAAACTTTTAATCAAACAGAAAAAATTGAGTCCAGAAAAAAAATTCAGAAAAAAATGGACTATTTTATTTCCCTCCATGATTTGACTGGAGTTGTTATACAAGACTGGTACCTATATAGATACATCTTTAGCCGAACAGATTTATCCTTTTAACATAATTTAATTCATTGTATGCTGGTTCATATTCTGGACGCCAGTCTTTGCTCCTTTCTAATATAATTCACAAACAAAAAACAAATATGAAGCTTAGAAATGGAAAAAATATTAAATACTAAACTCGTTCAAAGGGTATCTACACGTCTCAATCTTCAAAATCGCTTATCTAAAAATACTACCATCGCTAACATTTTTAACAATAAAAATCGTGGTTACCCTTCTATCGATAAGTGTCATGCCAAAAAATGACTTACATGTCCCCGTCTTTCCACCAACAATACGGTAAGGTCCACGTTTAATGGTCGCACATTTTCTTTAAATTTTGAAACTGATATAACTTGAAAAACAAACAGTATAATTTATTTACTCACATGAAACAAACCGGGATGCGGTATTCAGTACGTAGGTGAAACTGGACGATATTTATCTAAACGCACTCAAGAACATCTGTATCGTTTTAAAAGACCCAATAAATTCAAAAGTATCATTTATCAACACCTTAAGAAGCACAATCATCCTATTAAATATTTAGCAGTTCAACCTTTAGAAGTAGTAAATAAGCAGCCTGGTGAATCTCATTCAAAGTTTGTACGATCGCGGAAAATAATTGAATTAAATTGGATTAAAAAATTACAGACAGTCTACCCTCTCGGTCTTAATGATAATATCATGGGAATTGGTAATATATCAAGAACCGATTCTGTTAACATTTTGGATATAGTTTCTAAAACTGTTCGTAAAAACCGTTCTCATGGTCGTAGAAAAAATCGCAATCAAAGAAAATTTCGGACCAATCATACCAATATTTCGGACCTAATTTCTATTTCAAAAAACAACGGCAGACATTATCTGTTAACAAAGCTCTGTTCATTACCGGTTAATAAGTTAAATAAAATTTTAGAGGATTGCAACACAATTTCATATAGCAGTCCTAAGTATGAAATCGTTCAAATTATAATGGCATATTGTTATTCTAAACTGTTTCCCAAAATTGATCGCCCTGAAGATCATAAAAAACAGTTTATTAAAATAAAGTATGTCAATAAAGGTTTTGATTTTGTAAATATTGTCGGTATTTTTAACGACCATTCTGTTAAAGAACAAATTCCGGGATATTTTGATAATACTGAGCTCCCTCTTATTTGTTATATTTACAAGAAATCTACCCGGAAATTTGTGTTTAATTATAGCCAATTGTGTAAAGATGTTAATATCAGTGAAAATACACCTACTTCATGTAATTGCAGTAATTCCGAATACATTTATGGACCCATTTCCCATGTTATAACAGGAGATCTTAACATCGTTCAAGACCGAGAGTTAAAATCATTCCTCAGTAAAGGACCTAAATATCGTCCCCCGTCAATTATTAATTGGAATGAGTGTCGTAATATCATCCACGACTCACTCCATACTTACTGTTTGAAATGGATAAAACGGGAAAAAGCTGACAAAAAATCTTTGGACTCTTTTTTTAAATCAGTAATGAACATAGTTGATATACGTATTCGACATTTTAAAGAACATTTTACTCTTAACAATAACCACAATAAACCTATTTCTCGTATCAAACATAAACTAAAAGAACTAGCCAAGGAATTTGTTTTTGTCCCGGCCGATAAAGCTGCTAATAATATTATTATTGTTTGACGTAAATTTTACATTGAGGTTCTGAAAAAAGAAATCACCAATTCACCAACATTCCAACTGACTCCATTTTCAGAAAACGACATCTGTAACAAACATAAACTTTTAGCTTCCGCTCTACAAGCAGAACCAAATACAATGAAAGTCCCAACTATGTATTGGCTTCCAAAGCTACACAAAACACCTTACAAATATAGATTCATTTCGTCTTCAAGCCATTGTTCCACTACTAAATTGTCTATTCTTCTTACCAGTACACTTGGTACAATCAAAAACCTGATAATAAATTGTTCAAATAAGGACTTCGAAAATAGTGGAATTAATTACTTTTGGAGTGTCAAGAACTCGTTTGGAAGTACTTGATAAATTGCATGCATATATTGGTGATTTTGAATCTGTTCAAAGTTTTGATTTTTCTACCCTATATACCACATTGCCTCACATTCTCATTAAGAAAAAATTCACACACCTAATTAAATGGGCATTTAAAAAGTCAGAATGTGAATATATATGTTCAAACTCTTTTAGGACATTTTTTAGTAGCAATAAACCAAAAAACTATGTCAATTGGACATGCTTTGATACTATATATGCCCTTGAATTTTTACTAGATAACATTTTTGTTCGCTTTGGAGATTCCGTATATCGTCAGGTTATCGGAATTCCAATGGGGAATAACTGTGCACCGCTTATTGCTATGAGTTACAATTTATGACAAAAATCAGCAAAGACCCATCGAAACAACATCTGATACACAAATTTAATAATACTTTTAGATATTTGGATGATATTTTGGCTCTCAATAATGACGACTTCAGTATGTATACTAAAGAAATTTATCCTGTTGAACTTACTTTAAATAAAGCTAATACTAACAATGACCACTGCCCTTTCATCGATCTTGATATCTATATCATTAACGGAAAGCTTAATACTAAAATATATGATAAAAGAGATGATTTTTCATTTCCTATCGTTAATTATCCATTTTTAGATGGTGACGTTCCCTTGTCACCATCTTACGGTGTTTATATATCTCAACTTGTACGATTCGCTCGTGTATGTAACAATGTTTTAGATTTTAACGAGAGAAATTTATGTATTACTGAAAAAATTATTACACCAGGGTTTTCGATATCACAAACTAGTCAAAACATTTACTAAATTTTATCATCGGTATAAGGACATCATTCGTAAATATAGCTCAACATGCAGACTTCTTATACGCTCAGGTATTTCACATCCAATTTTTTATGGAAATATTCTTTATAAAGCACAAAAATGTCAGTATTCACCTCTGAAGCTAACAAAATCTTTAAATAGACTTATTAAGAAGGGATATAGTTACGATACTGTTGTCAGGTCATTAAAGATTGCATATTTTGGCGTTAATATTGATTCACTTATAGGGTCTTTGCATCGGCACTAAACACATTTATTTAAAAACCAGTTGTTGGCATGACACGGGTTATGTTCTTCTCATATATGTTATGATGGTATGATACTAAACCCCTAAAGGGAAGGATTGTGCCTGATATTCATATGATGAAGACATAATCTTTCAATCAGTTTAATTGAAGTCTGGAGCTGGCATGTCAGTTAACTGCTAGTAGTCTGTTGTTATTTATGTATTATTGTCATTTTGTTTATTTTCTTTGGTTACATCTTCTGACGTCAGACTCGGACTTCTCTTGAACTGAATTTAAATGTGCGTATTGTTATGCGTTTACTTTTCTACATTGGCTAGAGGTATAGGGGGAGGGTTGAGATCTCATAAACATGTTTAACCCCGCCGCATTTTTGCGCCTGTCCCAAGTCAGGAGCCTCTAGCCTTTGTTAGTCTTGTATTATTTTTAATTTTAGTTTCTTGTGTACAATTTGGAGTTTAGTATTGCGTTCATTATCACTGAACTAGTATATATATTTGTTTAGGGGCCAGCTGAAGGACGCCTCTGGGTGCGGGAATTTCTCGCTGCATTGAAGACCTGTTGGTGACCTTCTGCTGTTGTCTGTTCTATGGTCGGGTTGTTGTCTCTTTGACACATTCCCCATTTCCATTCTCAATTTTATACTAGTAGTTAGACTGTCATGGACATCTATGAAATCTTATCTAGTTAGCATTTACAAGTCATAGCTTATTGATATATAACACTGAGCTTCACATGCTTCATATAATTATGCTATACAGTGGGACATATACTTCCTTTTCATCGACGACTTATATTTTTGAAATGTAATGCACGCATATGCAATTTTCGTAACATTCTTCTCAGCAAGTCATGATAGCTTTTTGATACTAGTATATAAATACAAGATTCATTTTTCGATACCATGTGACCTGTTTTCACTGCCTTCGATGTTTTACTTCCTGATTGCAGAAAACTTATACTTTGAGCGTGGGAACACCGTTCCTGATTTGTAAAATCTTAACAAAATATTTGCATAGAAACTTGGCACTGTTGACAAATATGTAAAGGATGACAAGTTTATGACATCACTGTTTTACTATTATTAGTACCTATTTTTGTTCCTCCTTGATTTCAGGTTACATTTTGATATCTAGATTTCAATTACATGCAGGCGTCATGGAGATTTATTATTTTATGGACGAGTTATTGTTTTAATAATATGCTCACTCTTCTACAGTAAAACCTGTGAAATAAAAACATTCCGACGAAACAGGTCTAATTGAAGCTCTAATCAAAAGATAAGGAGATGCGGTATGATTGTCACATTTTACATCAGTAACATTTTGGGTGCAGCAAGTATACTAAATCTTAATTTTCTTTTTATTATGACTCTATAGAACATGTAGTGTCTGTGTGAATGATTTCTGTGTAGAAAGCGTTTAAAGACTCCTCGATAAAGTTGAATATATCACGAGTTTTTTTGCAATCCACATCTTATGAAATATTTTACCGGGCACATGAGGGTCTGGATCGGGTTTACAGAATAGAGAAAAATGGACCGATACTACAGAAAATGGGCCAAAAACATAAAGGAAAGAGAATAATGGGTGTTAGAATGTAAAGAGTAGGAAATAATGGGCAAAAAATATAAAGAATAAAGAAATTATGCTTAAAGAATAAAAGAATACAGAATTGAGGGACCCCCATCCCCCTCCCCAATCCAGACCTTCGCACATTGGTTCACGATGCTATTGGTTCGTATATGAATAAGGATACTACTACTACTACTACTACTAATAATAATAATAATCATGACCTTATTATGAGAAGGTGACTCAATTAGCATTCACTTATCTACCTTCAGGCCCTCACAAAAAACATACAGAACAAGTATTACAAATATTACAACTTTTTTAACATATGATTCAACTGTCAAGCTAAAAGATTGTCTGTATAACAAGAAAAACAAATTTATACATGATACACAAACATTGAAAAGACAAGATAGAGTTAGAGATTTGTTACATATCATTTATAGTTTAAAAACAACCAACACATATTCTTTTAAAAGTACCAAGATTTTCACATAGTTTTATTTCATTTTGGTAGTTTTTTTTCTAAAGTATTGAGGAAGCTATTTTTTCATCGAATTTGTATTAAGCCTTGCTACAGCTAGATTATTATTTGCAGAAGATCTTAAATTTCTGCTGTGTAGGTTTATAATTTGACAACATAGTTCTTTACGGTAATTAGGTGCTTTATTATTGAGAATTTTATGAACAAGAATCAATTTATGATAAGAAATCCTGGATTTTAAATTAAACCATTTTAGCTCTTTAAATAATCTCATAGTAGGTGTTAATATTGGTACATCCAGTATAATCGTGGCAGATCTTTTCTTTACAATTTCTCCATATTGAGAAACTTTTGTATTGTGCAAACACGTCAATCGAGCCTTCTGGATATGAGTACATGTTAAATTTGCTTTTGACTGCAACATTGCCGATTTTTGTAACTTTTGAGTCGTAGAGTTCATATACATGTCACCTACATCTGTATGTCATTAAGGTGTAATGATTTCTGATTGATGCCAGTTGAACATGGAAATAGGAATGAAAATAAATGAATATCTTTGTCATTAACTTAATATTAGTTATAGCTGACTTAACTAGTTAGTGGAAATACATTAAGCATATTGTTGTTCGATGTGTATTGGCTTTTAAACTTGAATTATATCCATCAAGTAGAATTATCGTGGTGTGTCATGAAAGGTCATGGCAGGTAGAAGAGAAAATAAACAGTTATTAATTCAATCAACTCGTATTTGATTGTGCATTTCCTTTTTGACTGTACACGCAGAAATGCTTTAATTGAACGTGTATACGTCGATTAAATACAGATAATAAACAAATTCAAAATGTAAAAAAAAAAAAATCTAATATGATATCTAATTTTTTAGTGTTTAATTATTCTTTTTCGAGACATTATAGCACAAATGGTTTATTGATTCTTTATCAACATATTTTGTTTATATATTCCATATGTTAATGTTTAAGAAACCTCTGCAGTGTCTACCATTAGATTTTATAGAATTGTCCGCTCTGCTTCCAGCTTTGATGAGGTAATTCTGTTGACGTTTGAACAGATTTAGCTACTGTCGATTGCTTGGGAGAAAAATAATAAACTAGAACCAATATATAACATTTATGTTCTGTATTTTGACATTTTCATCACCATTTACGACGGCACATGTAGGTTTCGTCCATTAATAAACCGTATTAGAAACAAGCGCGTATTACTATTTTAAACTATTGTTACTTCAATTCATCGACATAACGCTTTATACAGAAACACACTTGATGGTTAATATTCCTTATCAACTTCACAAATAATACATGATAGTCTTAAAGTATAGATTCTAGGTACTGATGTTGTTTATCATCTTAATTACGTGTTATAATTTTTTTTTTATTTGTCTTTGTATATTTTCAACCTTTTTTAGTCCATTTTTGGTAACATACTTTTGGCGTGGCACGGTATTTATGCATCCCGCCATTGTGTTATTGTACTATGGTCATTTTTTTGGTATTCTTGTCTTTCATATTTTCCTTATGTACTTTATCTATAGAGTGTCTTTATGCCATTTTGTTTTTCTTTGTTGAAATAGTTGTTTGTTTTTATAGTGATTAAGATTATAACAAAATGTTGACTGCTGTACCCCAATTTTTGACATTTTTTACCTGTTATATCGTGTTTGATTTGCTCACACACTGTTGTCAATATAATGTAACACTATACGACTGTTATACAAGTGAGAGGTTTACCTCGCAATAAAACCAGCTTTAATCCACCATTTTCTACATACGGCAGGAATATTACAGTTGTTTTCCATTCGTTTGATGTGTTTGAGCTTTTGATTTTGCCATTTGATAAAGGACTTTCCATTTTGAATTTATTTTATATAAATGTTCTCATTTATCTCCTTTACATGCATCCAAATATTTATTATAATTTTTGAATTTCAGCCTTATCTGTTAAAGGTTTACAAGCCAATGTCCCTTTCTTTGAACCTAGAGAAAACAACGTATCATTCTATGCTGGAGAAACTGCCACGTTACTTTGTTCTGTGACTGGGTTACAAACTCGGTTTGTAAGTATGCTTTTGTTTTTAAAGCCGTTCAGACAGAATTTATAGAAATTTTAATTTGGTATGTATTTCAACCATAACTCTATTTATATACTTTTTATCTAAAACCACTCGTGGTTTACCTCTTATTTACTTAAAAGTGTGAGTCTCGTCACGTTAATAAAACACACACACACACAAAGAACTGACATTCCAAAAAACAATACATTCTGCAAGTTGTTTGTGAAAAGAAGTCTTTTTTTTAGTATATCTTAATGTTTTACATTGTATATGTTTTGTATGTATTTTATACATTTACGTAAACTTAATTAAAAAAACACTGAGCTTTACTTCAGTAAACACTATTCATCAGTTATTGTTCAAATGCTTGTCTTATATAACAATAGTAATTTCTAAAACCTCATTTCATCAGTCCCAAGTTTTGAAAATATGTCTTCTCCTCATAGTATAGAAGTGATACAAGTGTACTGAATATATCCTACATACGGACTTGACGGACGTACAAACAAGAGAAAAGGCATTCTTTATACGGAAACCTACCACTGGGTTGAGCTATGGATGTTATCTTTATATGTTTTGTTTATAATGTTTTTCATTTATTATTGTTGAGATATGGATTTTCTATCATTTTGAAAACATCAACATCAACCCGAAAATTAATTAAGAAGAACAAAGAACTAAACACCAAAATAATATCTGCCGAACTGACAGCTCAATAGAATGTAACATTTGCTTCAGCAAATATTTCATAATCTAGTTAGCAGAGATGAAAAAGATTCAATTTAGGATGTTGCTGAATTGAACATGGTTTTAATGAAATTTTGTACACAGCGAAGACCTTGTTTAGCATTAGAGTTTGATTTGATTTGATGGACTATCAATAACGTCAGATTCAATTATGGTAAATTTGTGTCATCGCTTAACTTACTTTAATTGTAAGTTATAGTTATATGTCCCTTTAATCCGTCAATATTTAGTTATCATTAGGTATTAAAAATTGATCATAACTACCGTCATTTCTACTTGATATGTTGTGGTTGCCACATACGAAGAAATACTTTCTGTCACAAACTAAAAGAAATAAATGTGTAAAAATAATGCAATCAAACTTAAATATCTCGTTTTATTACCACTTATTCCTGCTTTGAAGTCAAATTTAATTTGAGTGTTTCTCTCAAACACGAACGTCTTGACACCAGTACTCAATCTGTTTTATCTTCTAACTTATTACTCTTAATGCCATTCGTCAATTATTTTATGCTCTGATCAAGCTATAAATTGAAAAATGTGCATGAAAATGTTGTTATACAAGGGAATATACATTAGTAATTAATCCTTGTTATACAAAAATATAATTTAAGAGCTGTTAGTTGCATACAATCAATCACGTTCACTTCAATTTATCAGCATTTACTATGTGTGTATTTATATAGGTGGTTTCATGGATATCCTGTTTCCTTCTGTTTTTATCCCAAGAATTAACAGGGGTATAGAAATATCGTCATCTGAACTTCTACAATTCGACAGTAAAACTCATATGAAATAGGGACTTTTGTTCGGCTCCTCACACATTTTCTTTCATTGTGTATTGTATTTCTAAACTTGACGTCAATAATTATGAAATTCTCTGTAACTCACAAGATTTGCTCGTCTGATTCATTTGAAAGCTCACTTCCCTTTAACAAAAATATTTCCAGGTTGCATGCATACATGTATGTGTAACAAGTATGTTTAAAGTTCTCAAATAAATGTGGGTGTGTGTGAAAGGAATGGGTTCAAGATACACGCATATATATGAATGAGTAGCACGACTGTTTCTAGGTAACAAGAATCCAATGGTCTTGTATCAGCGTACTAGCCTCGAGTGCAGAATGTCATGGGTTCCATCCCCTGCCTGGTCAAACCAAAGACTTGTAAATTTGTATTTCATATCCAGAAATCAACGCCACTTTGCTTATTTGAATATTATACTAAAGAAATCGGATAAGGGTCACGGAAATTATATTGAAATGATAGGGAATTTAGAAAAAATGTCTGTTTTAACTTTGATTTAAGTGATAGACAGGTTGCCGGGGCAGAAAATAAATATACACAACAATATACACCATTTAAACGAAATATAATGACTGGCGTTGCAAAAATCAAGGTTCCTGAGCTATTTTAAAAATCGAAGCGAGAGGCTTTTAACATTGCAGTATAAAATACAGGCTAAAATGGCTGTAACGTCAAATTTGCAAACTTCGTGTTGAAAATTGGCTAACAAGGTCATTAGAAATACAGGTTGCCGGGGTGAAACTTGAAACTTGAATGTCCAAAGAATAAGCAAGTCCAAACCTTGTATGTGTAGTCGTTGTACTCTAGGTTCCCACGTAAAGTTAAAATGCCTCTATTTCAAGAAGAATAAACTCACGAAAACACGAAAAATTCACTAAATTCGCGTTCATTGTTTTGATTTTGACCGCCTGACAACTTTACAGAAATATCAGAGTGATTATAAACAAGGACTCTGTGACGGGCAACTTATAATATCCGTGTTTAAAGATTTTAATGATATCAAGCCAGTCCAGTTCAAACTATTATCACGTGGTACAATTCTCATTTACATATTATGAATATTAATTAGCAAAAGTACTACTAATTTCTGGCTATGTGCTGCTTCTCTACTAAGCACGTGGCATTTTGGATTAAGAACAAAAACTGGTCGACTCGGATTTCTAATAATGTGTCCGATTAGGTGACATGTCTTCCTGCGGACTATTACCTTGTGAATTGCGAATCCAATCAATCCAGGTTACATACATATGTATTTACATAAGTTTCCATGTACAGAACTTCTCCTTTGGTCGTTGATGGATAATTGTCTCATTGCGGAATATATCACATCTCCATATTTGTACATGTATGTGTTATACAAATTGTCTCAAGTTCCAAACATATATACATACGTTTTATATGCAAAAAGTGTAACAAAAATACCGAACTTCAAGATAAATTCAAAAAGGGGAAGTCCATAAAAACTGACAAAGTCAAACGTTATCAACCAACGGTACGAATGTAAAACAACCGTCATTTTTCGGCATTTCAAAACAAATAGTGGGTTAAACATAGTTTTATATCTAGCTAAGGGGACGACCATTTGATATTCTGGTGGGGGGGGGGGGGGGGCAGGAGGATTTGTTTTGGATCGGTTATTTATTTTTGTAAACTAAGAGGACAGATTATCTATTTTCTGCACTATTGAAGCAAGATTTTTCATTTTCATTAAAGCAAGGGACTGATTATTTATTTTCACAACTATATTTATATATTCGAAAACATACAATTTTTAAATTATTTGTTTATTTTAAATAATTTATGTATAGTCAAGTCATTATGTACCATTTAATCAGAATTAATTATTATCCTCTGCAGAAATGAATCTCCTATATTCCCCAATGCATATACATGTATTGCATACATACACAGTATTAAAGTTTGTTTGTAACTAAGGCTCTTTTAAAAGTATTGGCAAACATGTTTTGCCGATTGGAGCGAGGCAAAATTTTTTTTTGAAGGGTTTTTGAACCGCTGAAGGCCCAAGAAGCTATAGAACAAATGATGCAAAATCATGCCTTCTGGGTGTTCCCCAGACCCTTTCTTAAACTGAAAATGCAAGTTCTGTTTTAATAATTTTATGACAATATTTTGGTCTCAAAGCAAAATCACGTTATAGATTCAGTGTAAGACTTAAGTTTCTAGGAACAACATCAAAAGACAAATATGCATGATAAAGCAAAAATGTAATTCACATAGTTAAGTCTGTGGCTGCTGTGTTTTTTTAAACTCATGATCAAGTTAATAATAAAATTACTAAATTACAAAATGAATGCAACACTAACAGAATACAGAAGGGCAATCAATGAACAAAAGACAAATAAATAAGATACATTGATCCCGAAAAGTCAGGGGCTACGTCTGAGGGAGAACAGAACTTGCTTCTTGCAAGGCACTCACGGTGAACACAATTTGATATGGAGACAAGCGTTTGGTTTTGAAATTTCCTACATGAGGCATTTGTCTCAATGTAGTTACGGCCCTGATTTAATAAAAGTGAGGTAAGTGTTCCTGAGACAATTAACCTCAAGTTAAATGAAACCAATTTTCTGACATTTCAATAGATATAAGAAGATGTGGTATGAATGCCAATGAGACAACTCTCCATCCAAGTCAAAATTTATAAAAGTAAACCATTATAGGTCACAGTAAGTATATTTAAATAATATTTATACTTTTATTATTAATTTAAAAGATATGGGAAGTGTTTCCCGATTTTTTTTTTTGGAAAAAAAGATGAATTTATGAAGAATCTGGTGCCATCTCATACTTTCGATTAGACCTGCTGAGTTATTTATTTTCAATACATTGCAAGTCAGGTAATTTATTTTCAAACTACCACAGAACAAACCATTTGTTTTTGTGATTATCAAGGCTGAGTTATTTATTTTCAAAATCCTCCTGGCCCCCCCAGAATATCAAATGGTTGTCCCCTAAACATATCACTTGTATGACAGTTGTTTATGACCCAGCAGCCAAAACTGTGTAAACATACATCACAGGCATACAACTCAACTGACTAAATACATCAAAGAAATATACAAATAAATCTAACAAAGACGCCAATTGTAATTGATAGTAAATTTGACAAAGATGCCAACAAAAAAGATTTTGTAATTGATAGTGACAAAGACGCTAGCAAAAAAGTTTTGGAGTTAATAGAACATACAGTATACAATTTCTCGATAAAATATAAATTAAGAAAAATATAAATACAAGGGTAAATATACTGAAAACAACACTGTTAAAACCTGTTGCGTCCTAATCGGACATCTGGACCCACTTGCACCAGGAATACCAAAACCAAAAAATCTGACAGCTGGATACATAAATACCGAGTCAGGTCAAAGGTCATACGACCAAAAGAAACATAGTAGCACAAAGACACATGAAGGGTAAACTGTAAAGTAAATAAAAAGAAACAGATACACACCTTCAGCACCTAGAAGCTATAACTCAAGTCCATCTTGTATTATTTGTAAAGCAGATACTGAATATCTATCTATTAGGTCTTGGTACTTTCCAGTGAAATTTTTGAGAAAAAAGATGAGACATTCTTTGACAAAACCCTGGCTCATTAATGCTTTGCTCAGACATCGATGCTTTTATAAAGTCTGAGTAGCTGCTGCAAGCTCTTGAATATCGTATGAGTTGAGCAATGTATACTATATACGCGTGTGATGTTGGTATATTGCTGCTACGGTGAGGAAAATTAATAATTTCAAAATTAAAAGCGTCTCGTTTGTTATAAATTCTGGTACTGAGACGACCGCTGTAGTCAAATTCGAGGTATATGTCAACAACTTGAATATAAGGGTTGTTTCATAGAAAACTATGGATTTTCTAGTATATTTATATTCTAAGATTGTTGTTTCACGTACACTACTCCATATTCCTTCTTTCCAAATTGACGCCTGAATGCTTTTATTAGAGAATATAAAATTATTTTTTACAAAAACTTTGCCAATAATCAGAATCATTATGATCAGTGTGTTTTGTTTGATAAAATAGATTGTTTTCACAGTAGGTAGTAGTAGACTAGGTATGAAATACACATTACTTTTTTACGTGTCGCAGTAATTTTTGTTTTGCAAAATTAATTCTTTATTTGTCCTGGATATTGCGAACTAGATTGTTTACTGTGAAACAGAATCCGAATTCTTACGCCGTGAATAATGCTGCCTCAGACGACTGGTTTTCTAATCCAATCAACAAAAGTGCCGCCTGAATTCGTGTGCGGTAATATACCATTATTAAATTTTCAACGGAAAACTCAAATTGGTGTAAAATTGATGTGTTTCCATTCCGGTGGTGGCACGTTTCTCTCAGTATGTTCTCTTTAAGTATATATTTTCTCCATGCGAACAGAAGCATGCCTCAGTGCATATTTTGGTTTGCCATCACGGATGATTCTCGAAAGGATAATTATCCGTTTTCTGTAATCATATCATGCAGAAAAGTATAATCAATGTATTTCTCAAGTGAATTTCTTATATCTTTTTTTCTGAAAGAGATAAGACGTATGTCTTTAGCAACCTTTTGCCAATATATTGATATTGGTTCTTCTAATACGTCAACTAATACCAATTAATACAATGTTTTACCTTAAGGAAATGTAATTAGGAAAAAATTGTTAAAAAAAAACTTTGACATTTATACACTATACACGTACTTCTTGAACAATTCCCTTGAAACATTTGTTTATGCAATAGTTTATTATATTGCCAAAGGTATTTAAGCCTCGAAGGGTCATTCGATGATCCCAAGATGAAACAGACAGGACCAATTACATTTTACATTATTTCCAGTCAAGAAGTCTTTAAATCTTTATTTATTTTCAGTATCACAGCTTCATTCATTCAAGTTTAAAAATCGAAAATCATTACGACGTATTTCTCAACAAAGATCCAATTTGCTTCAAGATAGTTAAAACTACTAGTTAGATGATCTTAGATAGATGTTAAAAAAATGAATATGGAGGACATTCCAAATAAAAATTCTGATCGGAATAAAAGCTAAGTACTGCCTAGCAGATAAAACATTTTCAATTTTGGAAGGCCTTCGACGCAAAATTTTACAAAACGTATAATATTTTCTAGTCTGTATCAAATATTTGATTTCAACATTAATGCATAGCCAGAAGGCGCCGTTTAACGTTTAGTTCAATTGATATTTGTTAAAAAAATAAATACCAGTTTATTATCAACGCTTTCATATTCGAATCCACTTTCCAATCTTATTCTTCAACTGAAATAAACATGAATAAAATTGTCCATATTTTCTATTTGAGATTAAATATCTTAACCTCAGCAGATACTATTTGAAAGCCAGATATATAAAACGTTTGGATACACTAAAAACTTAAAAGAACTAAACAGAACAGCCCAATGTGACTATGGATAATTCTGTCTCGGGGTTTTAAAACATCGTTAGTGGTCTAATTGCATTTTGTTTGTACATGTGGGTTACATATGAAGCAGGATCTGTTTACCTTTACGGAGACACTGAGATCACCACTGGTTTTTGATGGGGTTCGTGTTGGTCAGTTTTTTAGTTTTCTATGTTGTGTTTTGTGTACTGTTGTTTGTATTTTGGTCGTTTTTCGTTTTTTGCCACGGTATTGTCAGTTTGTTTATAGACTTATAAGTTTGAATATCCCTTTGACACCTTAAAAGTTTGCCTCTCTTTTATGAATATTTTTCATGTCATTCATCACAGTGTAAATTTGTATTTTATGTAACGTTAGGGAATCAACTGGCCAGTTTACACGTCAAAAACATCGAAAAAATATGATTTAACTTATAATTCTCCACCCAAACATCTATTATGATACTATTCTTTCAATTTCAACTTCTTTGGAACTCAGGATTCCATTTATGTGTATCATCTATGAATACTTTACAGTGATGTTTCCATAGGTTACGAAAGCAGTTTCAGCATAACGGTCTATTGAATTGTCAACCAAGCAAACACAAAAATCTAACGGTCCAATCACATTCTCGTAATAGCAAAAAGTCCAATCAAATACAAAGTTGTAGCGCATTGAAAACCGAAAATGCTGAAATAGTATACAAAACACGGCAAAGGCAATCTATACTTGGAGGTAGAAAAATATAAGTGTTTTTAATATTTCAACATGTTATAACAGTAAGACAATGAACTTATCAATGATATTTCTACTACTTGGCTGGTCATAATAAAATAGACCAAATGCTTTTCGATTAGTTTTTGCTTTATAATATATCCCCATGCAACTCAGCGGAAGGGGATATCAAAAAGTCAACACTTTGTTATCAAACATATTTAGGGTCTGGATCAGTTTTAACCTCCATTGAAATCTATCAGAAGAACTATAATAGAGCAGTCTATAGAACAGTTGTCTTCACACTTTTCAAACAGTTTTTGTTAGAACAGGTTCTACCCTAGAACATATTTTGACAGTTCTAACCTTAAAACAGTTTTAGACAGTTATTATATAGAACAGATTCTGATAGATCTATCCTAGAACAGTTATGGATATTTCTACCCAAGAACAGATCCTAAGAGTTATATATGTAGTTTTGGACAGACAAATCTATTAAGATAATTATTATATATATATTCAACTGATCTATTCATCTGGTTTATTTGTTTAATCTTTTTAATTTTCATTTGTTTATTTATTTCATTTTCTTATCTTATCTATTTATTCATTTATTCGGTTTTTTCTTTCATTGTCTTATTAATATAATTTCTAACAGAATATTCTGGGTTACATCTTTGTTACTTTTCATGATTAATTATTTGGAACTATTCAATTTAAATTGCTATTATTTGTAATCTTAGTTTTTCATCCTACCCATTATTATTATCGCGTAACTAAATTTAAGTAATAATATTAAATCACATATATATTTCCCGTGAAATTGATATTGCGACTGTGTAATCCAAATATTTTAGCTGTAATAAACATCCACAAAGTGCTCATCACACTGTATCATTGTCTCTCTAAAGAAAACATATGACTAGTACTTTTTATAATTATTTAAGGAATGACTGTAATATTTTTTCTGTCTATGAAGAAATAACATAAAAAATGTGGTGCACACTGAATAACCGGCGTAGCAGGTTATTTAAAAGTGTGCACCACATTTTTTATGTTATTTCGAATAGAAAGAAAAAATATTAAAGTCATTCCTTATAATTTAATTCTAAAAGGGAATAAATAATGATAAAAACGTTGACGACGTCGCGGTCACATGACAAAATTGTGTCTATGAGCTGATAGACAAAACGCTTTCAGCCAATCAGAAGACGCGTTACATCCACAATTAAATTATAACGGAAATATCAGCAGTTTATTTCCTCACTGCTTCAGTTTTATTAAATGCAAATAAACATATTGTTTATTAATAATTCATTTGATACATATGGAGACAAACAGAAATAAAACATACATCCACGACTGCAATTGTTTTACCATCTAGTCCATTTTGTCTTAAATATGACTACCAGATATAATCAAGGTAACTGCCCCTGGTCTCAATCACGACCAGACAGTTGCTCTAACATACGCCGTTTAGAACTGCCTATCCTTGAACTTATTCAACATTTCTACCCTAGAACAGATTTGGACAGGTCAGTCTTAGAACTGATTCTGACAGTTCTACATAAGATCAGTTTTGAGCAGTTCTAATAAAGCACAGATTCTGACACTTCTACCCTAGGAATAGTTTAGAACAGATCTATGACAAATTATTCTGCTAGTTCTATGGAGAGGTTAGAACGGATCTGTAGTTCATCTCTGAAAGGTCTTGAAAGGCGCCAATCAGTAAGCACTTTGAGTAAAGGATGTTGAATGTCACAATTATGGTAGAGATACCAGTAAATTAGAACTTTACTTATGCATTTAGTTGACATTTAACTTTTTGATTTTCATGTTTGAACCACTGCTTTTTACGTTTACTGCTTATTTTTACATTTATAACTTAAATAAATTATATATCTGTTCAGCTATCCCAACAATATGACACAAAATAATCGTTTATCCAATGTTACCCACCATTTTTTCTTAAAATGTCCTGTACCAAGTCAGGAATATGGCAATTGTTATCACATAGTCCGTTTTTATGTATGTTGGCGTTTGTTTTTGTAGCAGTTCAGTGTTTCTGTTGTTCCGTTTTGTTTCCTCTTATAGTTGATGTGTTTCCCTCAGTTTTGATTTGTGACACGGATTTGTTTCAGTTAAATCGATTTATGACTATTGAACAGCGGTATACTACTATTGCCTTTATTTATGGAATTTCAGGTAGTTTGGAGAAGGACATCTGAACCAAATCCATTAACAATAGGTGATTTCGTGTATAGTCCTGACGACCGTATCACCATACGACGTGTAGAAGACAAAAATGAATGGAATCTGATCATAAAAGATGTACAAATAGCCGACGCTGGAGTATACGAGTGTGCAGTTAGTTCTCGTGAGAAATATAAGAGACTTGTTTTACTTCGAGTTAATGGTTAGTAAATAAGTTAAAAGATATGGAATTCTTGCTTACATGTACTATGGAACGCGAAACTGAATATGTATGTCGTGTAAATTAAAAAATGAAAAAGATGTTCTTATAAATGCGATAGACAAAAATTGCAATAATGAAAAGTTGCATTCTTTGTTTTTATACAGCATGCACATGAGCTGAATTAACAGATTCTTGTTATTATTGTCACTGTCAACGATATGAAATAATATCTTTAAGCAATAACTTCGGAATAATAAAACACAAAGGTAGCCATGAATTTCTGGTTTCTGTACGCAATAACTTCTGAACTAGGAAAGACATAGTAAGCCACGAATTTCTGGTTAATTACTGGAAATAAGAAATAATGGAAAATGGGTATCGGAAATGAAACAGTATTATTCCTATATGATTTTCTCATTTGATTTAATAATCAGAGACAAGTTATTGCAACCAATAGAGATAGCAAATATTACTTTTCTATTACATAATCCTAACAAGACTTGATGTTAATCGATAAAAGAAAAATATGACATATATGTACTCTGGTGATAGTAGTACCTTTGACAAAAAAATCTATTTAAACAGTTTAATTCAGTTTAATCATACATATTTTTTTTTATTTGAAATAATTCTGTCTATATTGATTTAGAACATTTGTAGGAATAGACTAACATGTTTCGTTTGTGTATTTCTAAGTACTCCCAATATCTTTTAAAGTAGAACAAGGATGTCGGTGTACCGAATGTTAAGTTAAAAGCATTTCCCAAAATGTTTGAAAATACTTTTTTTTTTAAGTTTTGTTAAATAAATTCGATATTTTTTTATCAAAATGAAATTTCATAACAGTATTAATGATCTCAATCCTTTTTTCTTGATTAGATATTTTAAATCACAATGGTGCAAATTGATCCGTATATATAACAACGCATTACATACTATTTCAAATAATATTTTCGTTTTATATTAATTAAGGGAAACCATTATCTGTTTTTCAACTAAAAATTCACAAATGCATTATCGACTGTAAGAAAAGCTCAGTTAACAAGCATACGAAGAGATTAAAAGAAATTTTCCATTCAACGTTTTCAAATTAGAAGCAACAGTAATTTATCGATGTACAAATACATTTTTCTATCTATATAATACTTGCTTTACGTATCCGGTGAACAGAAAGTTGGAAAACACATCACAGGGGCAAATATGTTAACAAGAAGTTTGATTCACAACATTCGGAAGCTTTGATTCAAAGTTTATGACAAAATTGCAATGAATGTCCTCGTACGTAAGGACATACACACAAAGGTAAATCTGTATATAAAAACTGAAGAAATTAGAATGAGCTCCTAAATGAATGAAACAGGATGCGTCGACAGGTTGAACGTCTTCTGCTATGCATCAATTAACCTAATTTGTAGTTCCTGACAAAAATGCGACGAGTATTTTAAACGTTAACACTATCTGTAGAGTATGTAAGTCTTCGGTAAAAGGAAAATGTTGAGTGACGGATACTCACCACATTGTATTGCCTATTATGCTTGAAACCAAATTTCAGGAGATCTTTTTCGTATTTGCTGAAACGAAAATTTCACACATTGCCAATGTTTGTAAGAATATATTATAGGTATCCGGTTAAAATGAAACTTCTCAGCAACGAGTGTGCAAACGCACTACACGGTATATCATACTAAAATGAAGCTTGAAAGAAAAATGTGCGATAAGAGTCATAGTTGACCTACCGTTTCTCTGAAATGTGAAGTTTCAGTTTAAGATTTACGTCATGTCGTTTTTAAAATTTGGGTTTTACAAAACAAAAAGAAGTTAAATTTCACTTCCACATATATTGATGATGTCCTGGCACACATTTTTGTTTGTAAGTGCTTGCCTCTCATATATCATTTTCCTCATCTCTCATCAATAGCATACCTTTTCCTCTGTCGTGTGGCGTTTACATATCTCAATTTATACCTTACGCTAGTGCATGTTCACTCAATGCGGATTTCGTTAGAAGGAGTGTGCTCATTACAATAAAACATCTCTCAAAAGAGTCATCAGGAAGAACGACTGAGATAGACACTACATAAGTTTTATGGTTACCGTCGCGAAATGGTTGACCGATTCGATATGACGGTATCTCAAAATGCGAGCGACGGGTTTTCGCAGTTTTAGATATTTAGACACTGGTATAGTCGTCTGATTTGTAATCATACCGATTGCGTCTTTTTCCGATTGTGACATTTTGAATGAGTGTGAATTTGTATGGCGGATGGTATATACATAGCAGGAGACGCTTACCATATCGACGCAACTGGTCTCATATCGTTTAGGGGTTATGTAATTCCCTTATTTTTTGTTTATGACCTTGGTTTGTCTCTTCCTAATCAATTTACGAGATTTGAAAATCGAAACTACTGTCGCCTTAATTTATACCCTCTGTCCCATCGTATGACGTTTACATTTCTAAATTGATACGATGTATCTGGGTCTCAGAGTACATGCGACATTGTCTTAAATGTTTAGATAGCCGTAAAATCTGTAATTTTACCGATTGCGTACTATTTCCGATTGTGGTATTTTAACTGGATATGTATTCGCATCACGGGTGTCGCATGCATATTAGGATATGCTTACCATGTTGACGCACCCCGTTTCGCTCCTTTTTGATACCCTCATTCTTTGTTTGGAGAGGAGTCATCGTTGAATATGCACATATATCTAGCTGAGCGACACAGGCTCTTGCAGGCTTCTTGTTTTGTTCCTTCCATTTTTGTTGGTTTATATTTCTCTAATTCTTCGTGCATCTTCAGTGGTCAATTTGTTTGATTAAGTACAGTTTAAATAAATTGTCGGTTATGATTTCTGCTTCATCAATTTTGAATATAATACCTTGAGTATTTATTTAAATGAAAATATCCTACTACTTGCATTGTCAACCCAGTCAGTTAAGCCTTTCATTCTCTGCAATTTATTTCATTAACGAATGCAGACCTATGGTGTATTTCATTTGACTGACACATTCCACTTCAATTCTAATATTTAAGTCCATTTGTGCTTTCCGTAAAAATTAATAAAAGGTGAAAACATGCATATAATGGTCAAATACCTTTTACAGCATGAATAGAGTTATTTTATGGAGTTGAGATCCTGGCTTAAATGCAAAATAGAAAGAGAATCATTTACGCAGATCATCTTTGAAAAATTTACAAATTAAAGCAACTTTGCATAAACATATTTTGAACAAGATCACATGAAAACTATGGTAAATGTATGAATGGATGTCATTCGTGCTTTCTGATCTGGTTTGCTGTTTTACGGTTTCTTTCCACGTTAATTATGATATTTATTCCTGAAATTCTCTGAAACTGATATCATGGTGCTTGATTTTTCTATTGACAACATATTTGTTACGTTTGGAGGACGTATGCTTTCATAAACAATCGGCATTCCTATGGAAACCAATTGTTCTCCTCTTCTTGCCGATTTTTTCTTTTATCAATATGAGGCAGATTTTATACAGAAGCTTCTCACGAAGAATAAAAAGAAGCTAGCATTATACTTGAACATCACGTTCCGCTATATAGATAATATCCCTTAATAGTTCTAGTTTGGTGACTATGTTGAACGTATTTATCCCTTTGAACTTGAAATAAAGGATACTACAGATACAGTTAGGTCTCCCTATGTAGCAACAATCATTCAAAGCGCCTGTATAGGGAATATATATATCATTAGGTTGATACTATATTCCATAGCTTACATTTTCATGATTGTTTTGATTAAGGGTTGCTGCTCACAAGGAAGCCTTTGAATCAAGGGTTTCAAATGGTAAAGTTGAAGTTATAACTTACAAAGTTTTGCGGACTCTTCTAAGAGTTGGTTGACTACATATATGTTCCAATTGTCGTAACCATAATCCGTCCTATATTCCATAATTGTGACATTATCGAATGAACCGTATCATCGAATGTATACTTACAACTAGCAACATGACGGTGTCACTAATGGAGCTACAGTGTTTGTAGTATTTTGTTGATTTTTTAAAATGTTCGTCGTCTTTCGTTTTTTGCCATGGTGTTGTCAGTTTCTTTTCAAGTTTTTAATGTCCCCTTCTTATCTTTTGCCTCTGTTAATACCCTTTTTCTGAAAGGAGCGAAATATACTTGTATAAGTCAGCCTGTCCGTCTGTCCGTCCCACAAGCTTTTTTTCGCACCTCCTGAAGAACTATAAATTAAATCTTCCTGAAATTGGGTATCAAGCTTTATTCTTTAGACTCTAAAGTGTGAAGAATTCCCATCCTTATTGCTCAGTAATTTTGTGGTTACCGAAAATATATATATTAATACAAATAATGGTCATGTATGAAATTAACATCGCATTATCTTAGGAACTACAAATCATTTTTTAGCATGCTATACCATTGCTCATCAACTTCCTTTTCACCGAAAGCTTATTGCAGGGGTTCATTTGTGAGCATTAGTTCACAGTTCAAGTTGTTATTTTGGCCAAGGTTATGTCGGTATTTTTTATGTTTTGCGGTTTTGCATTGATCTTTGAAATGTTCTCCTCATTTGGAGTAACTGTGCGTTTTCGTATTTTTTCGTAGAAGTTGTAATTACAGAATTATGGATTATTTTTGTAAAATAAGTTACTGCGCTATTATGTACTTTTAAAATGTTGTTATATTTGTGAACAACAACAATTTCTTTCAAATGCACAGGTAATGGGAACACATAACAATTCAACAAATGTTTCTGAAATTACGTATAGCCAAAAACTGTTTGTATGTTTTAGGAACATCACGACGTTTAAACAGCAAAGGCTTAGCTTATGATAAAGGTAAATTTTATATCAAATTTTAAATAAATTCATGAAAAAAAAATGAACCAAATATCGAACATTTAGATTATGCAGTGTTTGTTATTTTTTTTTTCTTTTTGTTTGCCCTTTTTGTATTGTTTTGTACTGTTTTTGTTGTTTCTTTTAGTGTTATTTGTTTCAACATTTATCAAAACAATAACCCAATCCGTTCCCAAACAAGTCCTTTATGTATATTTGGGACACAGAATATCTTAATTTTCAATTATTCTTTTGGTGTTCTGTGTGTTTTATGTGCATTATTTTTTTGTTTTTTGTTTTGTTTTGATTTTTGTTTTGTATAATGCTTGCAGTTATCTTTGTTTATCTTAGTTATTTGACTAATTATATTTCAGACTTTGAGTAATACATTTTAGAACTAGAAACAGTGCATCGTATGTTTTTCTTGCATCGTAAGCTTTATTTGGGTTATATTTCGTTTTCGTTAACATAATAATCATTATGATTATAGAAATAAATTAAAAAAAGCGATGGTTCTTTTCTTATGGTCATGTAACAAAACCTTTTTCAATTTACAATTTTCCCACATGATATTCTGATTGTTTTATTTTTCAGATCAAGATATCCTAAAATCTCGTAAGTTTATTCATTAGTTCATGTTGGGTGTTGTTTTTTAAATTCGATTTCGATGCACATACCATTTATTTGGCACAAATGAGATAAAAAAAAAAATGCCAAAAAACACTTTATTTTGGTGTTTCCGGGGCGCGTTTCTATACATTATTTGAGCCTTAAGAACTTTACAATATTCTAAGTTTAAATTCGTTTCGTTTTTATGTCAGGTGAAATATGTTCAACACACTAACGTTCCGCAATGACGATAAACAAAGGTGTTAATTACCGGTCACATAAACATGTCATTTTAACTGTTATACAAACAAGTATGTTTACTCAGCTTTAACCTCTTTTGAAAATCTTTCAAAAATTCTTACTTTCGAACTTCGAGACATAGGAGTCAATTTACATTAATTTACATCAACGGGACTATAAAATTTACTCGACTTAACCGAGTAATCGAATCAACCGAGTTCGACTCATTAGAGGTAATTATGCAAACGGGAATTTTACAGGGACCGAGAAATTACTTCGACTCATCCGAGTTTCGACACAACCGAGTTCGACACATCGAGGTTCGACTGTATATGTTTTCTCCCGGATCGGTAAATCCCAAAGCTTTTAAAGTCTAGGATATATACATACCCGAATAGGTGAGGAGTTAAATAGATTGAGGTGGTACCTAACACTACAGGGAGATAACTCTGTAAAAATCAGCTAAACGTTTTAATTACGTTGTATTGTTAAGGAAATATTAAGCTTCTCAATGATCAAAATTAGTGTTTGCCAAACTGCTATATAACCAATGAAATTTTTCTAATAAAGTGGTTGGTTCAAATTTTTTGAAATTTTTACATTTTTGTCAAAGGGTCAAAATTAACATTTTGTCAAAATTTTATGAAAATTAAACGAGCCAAATTAATATAAGTCAAGGTGTTGGGTACCACCTTAACTAATTCGTTTGAGGTAATTTGTTCCTCAGAAAGACAGAATCATATTTTTGTAAATGTCTAAATTTATTTACAAAGATTTAAAGAAAAGTAGGTAATAAATCATTTCAATATCGAAGCACTGACTAATCAGCTGATGATACCATCGGTGATTACCAGTCTACTAGCAGCGGTATTGACAAGTTTTGGTTGAACATAACTTCATGGTAGCTACCTCTGACTTTTATTTTTGAACAACATTTAGAAAGTAACAGTGATTGTGTATAGAGGGGAAACTGTCTGATTATGAAAATAGGCATAATAACATTAACAGTACAAATTTTTCTGCACCAGATACGCACTTCGACAATAGATATCTCTTCAGTGATGATCTAGGCCAAAATATTTGAAAATCCAAAGTTTATTAAAAATGTGAAGAGCTATAAAACACGAATATTCTGTTTTTATCAAAGTAATACCAGTCAAAATCATGCCGAAAGAAGCATTAAAATCTTAAAAATATGTCTACAAAAGATACACAGAAGGAGGTATGATAGGCCATATAATTTGCCACTGAAATGGGACGGTAAACGAAGGGAAATAGAAGCTTCATTAATTAGTCTAAGAGTAAATATCAAAAGGAAAAGTGTCTTACAAATACAAATTCATCAAGCTCTGACACATTGCAAGAATAATGATGTCACAATGACGTCATAAATTTGATGAAATAACATTTTTACTGCGAATTTCGACAATTCATGAAATGTTTTAATATTTGATACTTATACAAACTTTAAGGGCACAAAAATCATGATTTTGACTTATTTTTTGCTCTTGCTAAATGCTGATAGTTTTTTTTTTATTGATACGGCATTGACCACATGCATGTACCACCGTAATTTGTTTTGGTATATCTCACCTATATATATAAATTTTTAAAACAAGCATTTAGATGAAAGTGTTTGGCTAAAGGTTTTGAGTGACCTTTAAAGTACATTTAAGCACGATATTTAGCTTAAACAAGTCAAATATCATACTTTAAAAGCTCTCAACATTGTCAAAAACAAACAGTTAATAGAATTAGAGTATCTAAAGGAATAGCACCAGTAACCAAAATAAACGTCCCTGTATTTTTAAAACCTTTTGTTTTGGTAATTTAATGTGCATGAATTGCTAAATGTATTCTATTTTGAAAATATAATAAGAATAATGGTACTCGTCGGATCATTTAAGTTCATTTTTGTAGAAATGTGACACATTTTTGTACTTGTTTTCATGATTTCATATGTATTTTTTTTCCAGAAAAATGTGATACATTTTGCATATTGTATAACTTTTTTAAATGATAAGTTGAAAAACTGTATATTAACAGTGATGGATGTATAACTCAAATATTTCGTCATTTAAAAGGCAAAAGATGCGAAAGGAATGTTCAAAACTCATAAGTAGAAGAGAAACTGACAACGCCATGGCAGCAAAAAAAAAAAACAAAAGACGACGAAAAGACAAACAAACCCACAAAACACCACATAGAAAACTAAATAATTGGTAACACGAACAGTTGCATTCTCAAATCTTCAAACTTAATTAAGTGTATTAAGCATTGTATGTATTTGTTAGCCGAGTAAAATGTAAATCATTTTTGTTTTGAGAACAAATTCTCAAAAAGAAAGCTCATTTATATCTCAGGGTGGTCTCAGTTAAAACACAATAACGATTTTTTTTCTAAAACTATTTTATTCTGAAGACAAAAGTGAAAAAGAAATCAAAAGACACATATATTCTTCCGAACGAACTCAAATTCCTACCTGTTTTATTTCTTAGATGGTTCAGTTAAGAAAAAAAATATTCGTTATGGCTTTCTGATTTGACTGCATGATGTAACACGAAAAAGCGCATTTTAAATGAATACACCGAAAAAGCACTCATAGATATGAAATACTTGTCAAGCCTCAGGCTTTTATATTTTTAAGTTAGCTTTCTGAAGTAAAAAAAAGTCACATTTAATCGAATGCAGTTTAAGTATCTCCGTGTTTTAAAGTCAACATGATTCTTACAACTACAAACGAGTTCTAGGCAAGATGTCTATTACGTATTGTTGGTTTCTCAGTTAGTTACATCTTTCAAAACAGTAATATCAGCTGATATGGAATTTTGGTATAGGTTGTAATAGCTGTTATTTATGTATTAAATGTTTTGTTCTTTATTTAAGAGGTACTTATGTCAGGACAAAGATTCGTCAGCAAAGGTCAGACTATACTACTTACATGTAATGCCACAGGTGAGGATTATGCTCCAGATGGAGTTGACTGGTTTATAAATGGACATAAAGCTAATCATCAAACAATGCCTCGTGTTAGAATTTACGATCCAGTGGTTGACAATAATAAAAGAACTTTACTTAGCACTTTGGAAATAAGACGTTCTATAATGAACGATAAAGGAATATATGTATGTAGAGGTCCTGATCAAAAAACAAGTAGTCTGACAGTCCATATTTTAGACGGTAGGTAGAATTCGGATAAGTAAACCTAGTAAATTGTAAACTTAACTAGCAATCTTTTTTGTGATCGTGTATATTTACCAGGATAAAGACTTAAAGGGTGTTCACCATCAATTTGACATCTTCCACATTTGTTTGTCTTATTTTCAATATATAACTCTTCCATACTGACTTTTGGTGACGTTTATTTGAGACAAGCGTCATAGAGAAAACATTGAATACAATCTAAGGATCAGCAACAATCAAATATATGGAAATGCTCAGATAGATAAAACAATTAAGAATGAAGTTTGAGAAATAACGAGAACTTCCATCAAGGAACTGTCACTCATATCGAGTAAAAAGTTAGTATTATTAGAAATGTTAAGATTTAAAAATTCTCAGGAGTGACGTTCTTCGCGTCATTAGAATGATAGTACTGATGAAACTGATTTGAAATATGATTTACAGAAATCTGATAAATGCCAAATTTGTTTGGCGCCAAGAGCAAACATATCATATACAGTAGCTGTATTTCTCTAAGAATAGAAGAAATGGGTTTATTCGATTAAAAACATTAAAACAACTACATTTATAACGGTACATCTTTATTGAATTGCTGGTTTCTTTGTGATCTAAGTGGAAAAAAAAACTATATTTAATTTTTTATGTTTTGTTTCAGAAGAAAAGTCAAGTATAGATAAGCGTGGTAAGCAAATGTTTAATTTATGTTATGTAAGGTACTATGAAGATATTGCAATCACGTGGTTTCAAATAAGCTACCTAGTGTAAGAATATAAAATGATTCCTTATAGATATATATTGTTTGCTTATGAAATATACGTATATTGAATTTAAATGTTCACAAATAAAATTCAATGTTGAAACAGTATTTAGACACCATTGAAAAGAGGACGAAGAAACCGAGGTATAAAATGTTTCCTAATCTTAATCTACTCTACGAATATAAAGGAAAATATACAAAAAAAAACAATTTAAAATTTTAAAGTCATCAACTAAAAGAGTGATATAGACATTTAAATTACGAATAGGATAGGTGTATTCATCATATTTGCGTTTACATTTTGAGATGAATAAAATTCTCATTTTATGAAAATTATAATTAAGAATTAAGAATTATATATTTCTGATACAAATGTTACAGTTTATATTTTTTTTAAACATTTCACATTATTTTCATGCAAACAAAGGCGATGGATCTCCGTCTCATGGTATTTATATTATTTAATATTACTTAACTAATGCTGTGGTGGGAATAAAGTTGTCTAGTGTAGAATATAGAAGTAGTTATACGTACTTAGTTAATGCCATACTTGTTTCGTGGATGATTTTGGTTTTTTTTGCACCTTACAAATTGTGCTGCTCATGAAACTAAAAAATAGTAGAAAAAAGTATGGTAGTTTGGTAGTCATGAATAAATGTGTTCATTGAACCAAAGAATGTGTGTTGATATATTTAAGTTTTATTCGTTAATTCAATTTATTTTTTTATTTTATTTCTGAGTGAAGGCAAAATTTAGAGACAAACAAGTTTTTTTCTTATGTAACATTTTGTGGCTTCAATACCAAATAGATCATCATGTAGTCTAAGAAACCTTATCGCACCTCGGGTTAATTAATGACGATGTGAATAGTTATAATTAACTCCGGCACGTGGTGACCCCTATGGATCCGTAGGGGACAGTAAAGTTTATAAGGGTATCATGACATTACGTCTTCTATTATTGTTATTGTATTTCATTGATCATTTTTAACATATATACAAAAAAGTCTCCTGTGCGATACATTCGTGATACGGTTCGCTACTGACCCCCTCAGCTTCATCCCCTATAGATTTTATTAAACCTCCATGAATCCGTAGGGGGTCAGTGGCATATCATATAATTTATATTATGGTATCTGTATACATTTAAACTAAAACTTTTTTTACTATCCAAGTGGCGTCTAAATCGATATATAAAATTGGGAATGGAAACGGGGAATGGGTCTTCAACAAAGCGAGAAAATCCCGCAGCTGGAGGCGGACTTCAGCTGGGCCCTATAAATAATGTATATTTGTTCAGCAAAAATGACGTCACACTATAAACTCCGAAACATATAAATGAATCGAAAATAAAAAAAATATACTAGACTAGCAAAGGCCAGAGGTTCCTGACGTGGGACAAGCGCAAAAATGCGGCGAGGTTAAACATGTTTGTGAGATCTCAACCCTTTCCCTAATACCTCTAGCTAATGTGGAATAACCAAACACACAGCATTACGCACAGTAAAATACAGTTTAAAAGAAATCTGAGTCCGAAGTTAGAATAGGTAACAGAAGAAACTAAGCAAAATGACAATGATCAACATAAGGTAACAAAGGACTAATTGTTACTTGCGCTGGTCACATTCCTGATTAACCTCTATAAGGAATTGAATGAATCAGAAGCCTTGAAATAGTGTAAAATAATGTGAAGTTGAAGTGAAAGCTCAAAGCAAATTAATTTGATAAATGTTTGTTTAATCATTATTTAATGTTGCATGTTTTAAGTGTATGACACCTACAGTGTATCTTATGATTGTGGTGTGTTGTGGTATATTAATTTTATCTATATATATTTGTAAAATTCTGCATGACTGGTAAAAATCCCGCTTTGTAAGATTATATTAATAGAAGTGTGCCAAAGTTCAGTACATTACAATAGAGTTAGACAGCTGTTGCAATTTATCCTGCTCTCTGAATATCACATGTTTTAAATAGTAATCACCTGTTAAACATATCGATATATATTATAGGATCACTTACCTTGTCTAATCACACTTGTGTGCTTTGTAACAAAATGGTCATACTCAACTACAATGAACTTGTAATTACTTTGCTTCTATAATCATGGTATTTTTCAATAAGAACAGCTCGTTAATTTAGTGGGATAACTAGGCAAACGAAAACGGAAACGGCTCTTATTATATTTGAATTATTTTACATTTATGTTCATACCAGAGAAAAGACAACAACTTGGTGAAAATAAAAAATAACATTAAAACAAGCTTAAAATTAACGATAAAAACAAATCGGTCTCCTGTCGAATATAACAGTATTAGAAATTGCTATAAACAGAAGGAATTAAAGCTTATCAATGCTCTCTCGTCATCTGTTTGTAAAATGCTTTCACAAATATAACTTATATTTTGAAGCAGTATTTTGTTTTCCATTATAAAAATTATTGTGACGTGAAAAAGTAGTTAAAGTGTTTTACATTGTATCTTAGCATTTATTCAATTTATATACGCGAGCCCAGGTGGTAGTTAACATCAATCAATTTTGAAATAATTTTGATAGTTAAGCTTAACAGTTCATTTCAAGTATAATTTGTGTTTAGCTTCAAATCTAATATTATGTTTTATAGCTTAAAATTTAATATTCAAGGTTTTTTTCAGGATTCGTTAGCGATTCTGCTATCCCATGTTGTTCCTTCAAGTGGAGTAAACAGTGTGCAATAGTATTTCTAGGTTTATCAGCGACCTGGTTTACACATGCGTGGTTTGTCACGTGATATACAATATCTATAGCTGACAAGATTATCAAGCAAAAATGTGTTACATGAATGATGTCCTCGATCAACGGTTGATTTATGGGGAAATTTGAACGAGTTCTTTTAAGCAGAAATGATCAAAAGAATGATACCAGGAGAACGTTCGATTTGAGAAAAACGAGTAAACAAGGACTTGTAAGGGGTCACTTGCAGATGAATATATGCATTGAATATTATTTGTCATGTTTTGTTTTATTATATATATTCATTTTAAGAGCACATGTATATATCATATAATTTTCCTTTTCTTATTTTGATGTTTCGTTTCATGTATAAATGAAGTTTGTCAACTAATGAAGGAAAGACAAAGAGCAATAAAGCATTAATTATATCATGTTTAAGATGGCAGCAAAATATAACAATGACTTTTGTTTAATGCGATACATTCTATTTCATTCCAATAATTTAGGTCCATTAAGTAGCTCATGTGGATGTTTATTTTGTTCTAAACGCAGTTGTTATTTTATTAAATATGATAATATTACCAGTATTCCTTATTGTTCTTATAGGTTGTCAACTGATGTTGATGAATCTTTACAAATTTTATAATCATATGCTTTTTGTTATCTTCATTTCTTTCAACAATTTCAAGATAATGTCCAAAAGTAAAGCACACGATTAAATGTCCTGCTGCATTTCAACCATAATTAACTCATTCGTTCTTACAAATTTATGGCTGCTTATTTGGAAAAAGTTAAAACCCAAAATAATGATTGCGATATATGTGGAGAAAAAGAATGGAATAAAAACAACGGTCCCAATTAAATGCACCAGATGCGCATTTCTACAATAAATATATCTTCAGTGATGCTCGATGCAAACATTTGAAAAATCCAAAACTTATTAAAAAATGAACTATCAAAATATCAATATTGTTTCATATAACATCAGCAAAAAATTCAAGAATTGAAAAACAAAAATGTATTGAACGTGTATATGAATAAAAAGGGTATATACGGTAAGGGCCATTTGGGCAGTTAAAGTCATTAACACGTTATAATAAGATTTTGAATGATAAACAAATGTCTATACCGTGTATCAATCCCAAATTAATCGATGGCCAAATGAGTTCCCATATTAACAAATGCTCTTATTGCCTAAAGCTTACATAAAACGTGTTAATAATACAGATATGGAGCACACGTAAGGAAATTGCATCAAAAACACATTTGGGGGTAAACGAACAGTCTCCAAAAATAAAATAAGAAGTGTACAAAAGTTTCAAAGATATATAATCTAACCACCACCAAAAGTCTGCTATTAGCATACAAAATCTTGATTATCAACCCTGTCCTTCTGATCCCTATTTTTTGCTTTTGATTTGTCTCGGGTGTCCTCTGGTTTTTGTTTTTGAAATTTCTGTTTGAATTCATTTGATACAGTATCTTCTTACTGTTCATTTTCTATTTTCGATCGATGTAAAAATTACATGTGTTGGGATAACAAATGTATCCTTACTCTGTTTATACTTAATCTGACCCTTTTATTTTATTTGAGTGCCAGTGATAAGTTTTATGTAGGTAAAACGCGCCTGGCCTAACAAATTATAATGCTGGTATCGCCGAAGAGTGATTATCACATTTAGAAATAACAGACTATAGAAAAATATCAATGATAATAAAATCAATCAAAAGAACAACCCGTTGAATATCATTATTACACACAGCATAAACATAGCTTAAAGAAAAACAATACAAATCAATACAATATGTATTAAAGAGTGCTCACATGGGTTGACAGCTAGAATTAAGAGCTTTAACTGTTATTTACTAAGCATTCGTTCTAACACTCTAAATATGACCTCCATACTTCCAAGTAGAATTCTATAGATACACTCCATGAAAAGTATAAATTACACAATCTACCGCAATAATAAGTACTTCAAACGTATTCAGCAATGATGAAAAATTCCAAAAAAAAAAGCTATTCAACATTTGATTTGCAATATGAAGTTTAATTTAAATTAGACGTGATTATTCTAGTTCTCAGCAGTTTAACTACAGAAAATTCAACATACAAAACACCCTTAACAAAACAGCTGAAATACTCTTGGGGTCTCAACTGATAGTAAAAATTTGGTCAATGGGATTTACGTAAATAAATATCTTCTAGTTTTCACCTCTTAAATGTGGCGGTGACATAACGTAGATAAAACTCATAACCGGTGGTTCAGTAAAAAGATACATTGAGTGCTTAGCTGAACGGTATTATTTTTACGAACCAACGCAACTGCTTACATGTATGTGACGTCTTTTCAAACTTGCAGTTGTATTAATTAGACCACATTATCAGCGCGCTCACAGTTATTGATTTAAGTGCCCCCTGATGGGGTTTCATATATGAGTAATGCATAGACTTTCACACGTCCCACTAATAACATTGCCGTTGTGGCTCCACTCCTACACTCCTACAAAATCCTTATAGCCGCATCAAGTTAAAATATCCACCTAATTATTTTGAATGCTGCACTAGAAGCAACCATTATTTGAAACTATACACGTAATGGATACAATCACGAATACATATTACACAGAATCGTACGCAATATTAAAATATTGTAATGAAATTTCTATTGAATGAATATGAATTTAGAAAGTTATCCATAGTTTAAAAATAAGGCTTTTTCGAGCTAATTAGCAAAATAAATACAAAAATTTATTTAATCGTATTTATACTCCTGCACATCTAAACTTACACTAATAGTAGTTTTCAAAATGCATTTGTAAAGATAAGTATAAGAACGAAATAACCCATAAAATTTGTTCAGCTAGACAAATTTAGATTATTTAAAATATAATTGTTGTAAAATTATTTATAATAAAAATGTAACGAAACAGCCATAAAATAAACAAAATAAGCGTACAAATCCGTGCTCATTCAATTATAGCATACAGTATTCACCAACAAAATAAAAAAAATATATTAAAGGGAAAAACAAACAGAGAAAAAGAGAATCAATATTCAATTTGCAAATTTTACTTCCAAAGCTAGCTTTCCGAACCTTGCGACTACCAACTAACATTATATGAACGTCTTTTGTAATATCTATAAAGGCATATATGTGTCCATTGTACTGGCGTTTATTATTTTTTTTTAGATTAATCAGTTCACAAAAATTAAAATTTCGGCCGACAAGATGAATTTGAATTATAATATAATGAAATATAAACCATTATTTATCCTCATATACAAATGAGATCTTTGAAAAAAGGGAACATTGATATACGTTAAATAGGCATTTTAGCTTCATCCAATTGGTAGCCGAACTGTTTCGTCGATGTGTTTAATATGAGTTACACATTACGTACCTTATAAGGGGTTCGATTACCAGTGATGGCAAGTGTAAATATTAAAAGTGAGTTTTCACACTGATTCATCAGTAACCAGAAATCAGGAAATTAGTTTATTCCAAGTTATTGTAATTGGGCGAACAAAGTGAACACTTTGATTAATTCAGTGACTATATTTCAGTAACTGATTTAAGATGTAAGTTTAAATGTAGCCATAATAACGAATGCATGTAAATTTTATGCGACTGTTACAATGTTTTATCAGTGCTGGTGATATTTTGCTTCGATGTTGCAAATAATCTAAAGTTTGGATTAATATTCTTTTTGCTAAAGTTCAAGGGACAATAATTCAAGTCTTCAACAGGTAAATAGTGACATAAATTTGACAAGAAAGACAAAAAAAAATAAGGCGAATTTCCCCTGAATATATAACATTATCGAAACTGTCTTCAGCAACAATAGACAGCATTTAATAGTATTTTCATTTCAAGGACTTAAACAAAATAATTAAATCATTCCTATAATTTCACTGGTGCTAATATGTCATTTCAATTGATATTTTATAGTGTGATGTTACACTATTGTTTCAGATAAGGGTAAAGGTTTGGTACCATTAAAACGTTTAAACCCGCTGCAACTGTTTGCACCTGTCCTAAGTCAGAAATCTGATGTTCAGTAGTTGTCGTTTGTTGATGTGGTTCATAAGTGTTTCTCGTTTCTCGTTTTTTATATAGATTAGACCGTTGGTTTTCCCGTTTTGAATAGTTTAACACTAGTAATTTTTGAGGCCCTTTATAGCTTACTGTTCGGTGTGAGCCAAGGCTCCGTGTTGAAGACCGTACTTTGACCTATAGTGGTTTACTTTTATAAATTTTGACTTGGATGGAGAGTTGTCTCATTGGCACTCATATCACATCTTCTTATATCTATAATGTAAAAATATGTGATATGATTGCCAATGAGACAACTCTCCACAAGAGACTAAATGACACAGAAATTAACAATATAGGTCACCATACGGCCTTCAACAATGAGAAAAATCCATACCGCATAGTCAGTTATAAAAGGCCCCGAAATGACAAATGTAAAATAATTCAAACGAGAAAACTAACGGCCTAATTTATGTACAAAACAAATATGATACACAGAAACAAACGACAACCACTGAATTACAGGCTCCTGACTTGGGACAGGCACATGCAGAATGTGGCGGAATTAAACATGTTAGTGGGCGCCCAACCTTCCCCCTAACTGGGACAGTGGTGTAGCAGTACAACATAAGAACAAACTATAAAAATCAGTTGAAAAAGGCTTAACTCATCAGATGGATACAAATAGAAATACATCTAACAAAAACAGAGGGGACGAGGCAAGGTACTTATACATCCTCACAACAAAAAGACACTAAGTACAGATCTGAGAGTACTCACAGTTACTGACAGCTAGTTCAAAGCCAATAACAACTAATAAAAAAATCATGCATCTAAGATTAAAATATCAATCAGTACACATCCAACATCCAATGGATTTAGTGTAAATACGTCATTAATAGTCAGAGAAAAACATGACATTGTGCAATGCCAAGATTCAGGTATCGACAGGTCGTAGAGGTGTAATACCACCAAATCATAGTACGTCACATCCGGTTGCATACGAAAATAGGTCGAAAAAAAAATATTCCCTTGAATTTGACAGTTGTAGGTAATTGATCCTACATTTCATTGCAGTAAAACATTTCTGGGTCATAAACATATATCTTGGGTATTTCAAAGCACCATTATTTTTTTATTTGGGGTTTCTATAGAATATTTTGGAAACTTGAGGTTACATGGTTACTAAAGCTTGTATACAGGTTAAAAAAGGGGGAAAATTTGATTGGTTAACTTCCAGTGATGGTTATTTTCTTATATGCAATGAAATGTTATGTGAAATTTTTTCTATAGTACTGGACAGGATCAAACTTTACTCATGCCAAGTATTTCTTTATTTGAAACAAAGATAAATTCTGCACAATTTTTTGAAAAGTGCAAATTTAACAAAGACTAATAGGGGAAAATCAATGGTGGTATTACACCTAATATAGGAAGCTGTACATGCACCTTTGACCTTGTGAGTACTCTCATGTGTTAAAATTTCTTGCTATTTAAGTGAAATATTACTAATAATGAAATATTCTGAGTGGATTGAGTCTCCA